AGTGTGAATGAAGCAAACATGTATTTGCCATTATCTTGACGCGATTCGAGTAGTGATACGAGTAGGTATCATGATGCCTCCCATAGGGTCTTCTCATCCAGAGTGAACTCCACCATTTCAGCGTGTTGCTTCTTCTCTGCGACTGTCATTCGACTACCACTTTCCACTCTTTTAATCGCAATCCACAATCCTCCTTTTCTTCAGGGCTCGCAGTTTTGCTCACACACAGTCGGCCGGCAGTCGGCGCTCCTCTGGGGCACCGCCTACCTTCGGCCTCGACTATGCATCTCTGCGACGTCCGTCGCCGACGCCGACGTCGTCAGCGTCGGGGGCCACAGCGGCGCCGGCTTCACCGGTGAGAGGGGACGAGTCGCGAACACGCCAACCCCAGGCGGGTCAGCATGTACAGCGGGAGCAGAAGCCGGAGCCTCAACTCCTCTACTATCAGCCGCTTCATCCCCAGTCGTACGCGAGCCTCCAGTCGCCGCAGCACAGCTACGGGCCGAACCAGCCGTTCATTCAGCACCACCAAGCCGGCATCTACGCCAGACCCAAAGAAGGTGGCAGTTCGCGTGTTGAAGCATGCCAACTAGGCGCACTCTCATCCGTCTCCTTTCAGCCCACAATTCGCACTCCGCAGGATGTGGCAATTCGTCCTGACGCGAAGCAGCCCATCAAACAGCCGTCTGAGAACCAGCGACAGCACTCATACCACCACGCCAGTCACGGATTGCAGGGGCTTCTTCCAAGTCACATACATGCAGCCACAGGTGGAGACAGCAATTCCAGGAGGCTCCCCAAGATCGGTGGTTCTATGCCGTCTTGGTCGCCCTCATCTAGTCACCATACGGCCAGCAAGCAGATGCACCTGATGCCCACTGCCAAGACGGCAGATACAGCTAGCACTAGCCTGGCAGGGGGGTGTGTCAATTAAGTTTTGTTTAGATCAAATATACTCGTCTATTTAGAAAAAAATATTTACTACACCTTGGCTCAGTGTTGCGAATATAACCCATTTGCTAATTTTGCCCTTGCAGCAATTCTCACATTATTTCGTCCGAATTCTTGTATAAAAAATGCTCACATGACTGTATCCCCGCCTGCCAGTCTCTCTGTCTGTCTGCACCGATTTTTGTGTGCAGTTACAATCATTGATGTTTATATTAACCAAGAGCCCTCGTTAGCAGATAATTTTCTGTTATCAATAGTCACTTTGCTACTATAAATAATTAAGTAATATATCGAATTTAATGAAAAATACCTCAGTTTCATTTGTCCTGCTTTGAAAGTCAGGCCTGTTGTTAATTCAACGGCGTGAGGGTCGCATAGTCTGAGTACTAGCGTGCGTCTTATTTATCTTGACTAATGCCAAGAATTCCGATGATTCAGAACAGATTCTCATTCGATCTACATGACAAAGAAGTTCTATGAAAAAATGCAGCCCATCTCTTAAGTTTTTCGTGTACAGCACCTAAACCAACGAATTATTTCTTAATTAATTTCCATAGACTTATTTAGGCTAGGCAGCAGAAATTTCATAATTTTTGGGCCATTCTACTGAAGACTTTATACTTTACGCTCCGTTCATCCTTTAGCATCGTTACTGGTGGCACCTTTTACTTATAAAATTTAATAAGACATAAAGAGTAGGTGCCTTATAATTCCTACTAATAAATATATCCATTTTCAACTTGCCCAATTCTCCAGTTTTGGTCTTGCAGGGAAGCTTGGTTTTAAAGAATTAGGGTCACGTTTTGGCCTTGCCTCCCAAAATGCCCTCTTTATCCAGGCTAGACTACAGTTTCGACCCAGGTAGGAAGAGACTTTTAAGACAATCCAAGACCCTTCAAGCTTACAATCAACCCTAGTCGCAATACAAATTGGAATTTAAATGTGATAAGCCTGGCTTGAAATGCAGATCTGCCCCGTGGCCCATTGGCATCCGAGTTGTGTGAGACACGTTGGCAATGTTTGGCCACATGGCTAGGCAACACGTCAGACCTAGGCGAGATCAAAACTAGGCCAACCATGTTGAAAGAGTGTTTTGGGAAGTAAGGATAAGTTAAATTAAATGACATTCAGATTACAGGTATTTAGTTAACTCAAACAATCTAAGGGGATCCCTGTTCTTATAAAGAATCTACTGATGATTTCAAAACCTGTTCGATTTGCTTTAAATGATATATAAAGATTATTTTGCTACACTTACCTATTGAGATTAATAAGATGCTAGTGCATCTTTTCCTGATAACTTTATCTGACCATGGCTACCCAGGTCTCACCCTTAGCTTCAGCTATTTCCTTTATGCTTCCTAAATGAGTGAACGGGGTGATGATAAGTTCTGAGACTTCTACAGAGTTATGCCTTTATATTTACTATACATGGCCTCCCTAAATTTCATTTGGAAGATGAAGCATTACGCTTTTTTCGAGGATATGAAGACCAGGATGGTGTGGCCTTTTTTTACGGTCGCCGTCTTCTTTTGTTGTATAGAAGTTGTTGACCTTGTTTTCGCAACTTGGTCATATTGGCAGGAAGACCTGGAGGAACGCACTTTGTCCGGAGTCCATTGTATACATGATCATTTCCAGTGTCGGACCGTGGATGTGGTACATTTACAGACGTTTCGCCGGCATCGTCAGTGAGTCTTACTACTCTTAGCACCACACTACAACTCGTCAAAGAGACAAGTGAAGCCAATCCTTTGACCAAATGTGTGCTAAACAATCGTGGTATCTCTTTTTCTCCCTTGGGGCAATCCCCAATCATATATCCTTGTATCACCCCTTTAATATTACAATTTCTTACTTGTTTATCTAGACCTATTTCAAATCTATTGACACTTCTAGGTGGTTTCCACATCCTTCCCACTATACTGGGAGTGTTGACCAAGGCTTCGGTTTAATCCGCAATCCTCTCTCTTCGGGTCCTATCAGAGTCCTCTCTTGCCCCGTAGGATCCTTGCCTTATCAGTGATTTCGCTCCATCGTGGCCACCGTATCCGTGCTTGTTCAATGGGTTATACACCCTGCGTCAAGCCTTTGATAGCACGTATACACCAGCCTTACTGAGCAAGCCCTTAAAGTCTGTATTCTCATTTGGCATAACAACCTAACTTGAGGCTGCAGATTCCCTTATCGCTATGCCACATGTCACCGAGTCAATCTTGTGGTCAAGTTTTTACTACATGGGCTACGTCTATGAGCAAACTTTTCTACTAATAGCCAACTAGAAATGGCCACTACCGTTTCTCTCGCTCTTCTATGACATTCTATTGCGTGCCAACATACAAATGTGATGGTTCTACTTTATTAGAATAGGCTCATTGTAGACGTCTTCTCTTGATTTCCGATTGTTCCTCTCTGGTCTCCTTGTAATTACTTTTTCTAAAATTAAAAGTATTACAGAAGTGGGTTGACCTCGTTGTCGCAACTTGGTCTTGTTGTCAGGGTGACTATGTAGAACGCGCCTAGTCCGAAGTCATCTGCCATAGTAGTTGTCAAAACGTTTCGCCGGCATCATAGTCGGCATCATCAGTAAGTACTGCCATTCTCCGTAACAAGCCCACTGTCTAATGTTGGGAATTATGATAACTACTATGACAGAGGACTTTGGACTAGGTGCGTTCTACTGAGTCCCCCGGACAACAAGACCAAGTTGAGACAACAAGGTCAACCCACTTCAATAATACTTTTGATTTTAGGAAAAGAAATTACAAGGAGACCAGAGAGGAACCCAGTTACTCCGAATATTATTTTTGCAAATTTATCTATAGAAGTGGGTTGACCTCGTTTTCGCAACTTGCTTTGTTGTCAGGCCTGCCTAGTTGAAAGCACCTAGTCCGAAGTCTTCTACCATTGTATTTATCATATTCCCAGCATCAGAATGTAGACTTGGAAAATTCTCAGACGTTCTGCCGGCATCGTTGTCCACATCATAAGTGAGTATTGTCATTCTCCGCACAAAGATACAAGCACATCAGAGATAAGTCAAATCAACCTTTCGACCAACGTTTTGCCGAAAACGGTTAAACTATCACTCCTCTTTCTGTCCTGGCCTATCTATCTACGTTTTACCCTCTTATCCCATTACCGCCCTATCACAACTTCTCACTTGTTACATTCCATTCGTCAAAATGTGTTCCCTTTTGTGGCAAATCTAGCGTGGCCTCATCACACTTGCTATTTACTCTGACCCTTCTCTTTCGATCGGCTGATCCGTCTCGGGCCTCCAACCGGATCCCTTCATTGTCTCGTAGATCCGTTCCTTATCTTTCTGGTTGACCGATTTTACTCGGATCCATTCACTGTGAGTATTTCTCTCCAGGCGCTAATTCTCAAAGCCATAGAATCACGTACAGTGCCGCATAAATGAGCAGAGCGCCTAAGCTCTGATTCCCATAC